GCTGTTTGTGTTAGGTGGGCCAGTTTCTCTCAGCCAAAAGAAACATCTGATTACACGGGCCTCAGATGCGGTCAGGCAGCACATGAGCTGTGTCTCAAAGGGCTGTACAGAGCTGGTCGGTGCTGGGGGTGGGAAATGAGCAGGGGCAGGAGAGAGCAGGAGAGGTGGGAGGAAGTCGGAGAAAAAGCCTTGCCTCGTTTCCACACCCTGCTCCGAACTCTCAGCTCCTGGTCAGAATAAAAATTTCCAGCACAGCCCAATGGTCCCACAAGGCCACACCCCAGTCCTGGGCAAAGGTTGTGAGGTCAGTGGGGCAACTAATCTATGCCCCACATGTTACCAAAGGCCCGAAGAGAGTGGCTCACCTGCTCCAAGGGAAGGAACACGGGGCCCCAGGGCTGCAGCAGCTGTAGGGCAGTGACTGGGGTAATGCAACCGGGAGACAAGCACCCAGATACCAGGACACCGGGCTGACAGCTGGCTCTCAAGCTGCCCGAATCCTGCCCTGTTCCTGACAGAGCTGCCAGGCGTCGATAAGCAGTGAGCAGAGTGTGACAGAGGCAGACTGGAAAGCAGCACTTCTTAGGCTTTATGGTTTTGCTTCTGTCTCATGGAGGGCACAAGAGGCAGCTCAGAAAACTTTGGGGTCACTTGTCCCACAGCAAGGAAGAAGCAGTTGTCATGGTTGGACCCACATCTGGACAGAGCAGCCTGAAACCCTCTGCGGGTCACTCATGCATTCTTGGGCTCTGCTCACAGGATCAGTCCAGACTGGAGAGCTTCAAGTGGACCCAACCAGCACCCAAGATGACCAGCACCAGGGCTGGGGCCTACCAAGTGAGGGCTTTGCTTAAACATTGCATGGCCATCATCCAACCTCCAGCTGCAACCAAGGCTGAGCAGGCTGCTCCCTGGCCCTCAGCAGAAATTCAGCCAGGTGCCCACTGGCCAAGCCAGACCAAGCCTGCATTGGAGCCACAACATTTTGTACACCAAGGTGGCCCCTGGGACCTGTGGGGATGGGCTCAGGATAACCATAGCCCAAACCTCTTATCCCTCCAGCAGTTTCTATGGCTTCACTTGGTCCTGCAAGGAACAGGAGAGGTTGCCACACAACAGAAGGGGTCACAGTCAAGGACCTCCATGGCCTGGGCCAGGGGTCTGGCCACACCAGTCAGCACCACATCTGTCAGATATCCTAGAATCAGAATGTTGGAGTCTATGGTCTGGAGTGGGCCTCTATGATCTCAGACCACAGCTCAGGGGACTGGAGATAGGGGAGAGAAAGTCCCCACTTTGTTCCCTCCTCGGAGGAGGAGCAGTGGACATCTGTATGCCCTGGTTGCACTAAGCTAAGTAAGGGTATCATTCTTCACTTTTCTATGATGTGGTGACTACTGCTGTCCCATTTTATAGCTGGAGCTTAATCATCTCACCCAATGACCACTAGCAGGGCCTGCGTTCAGTGGGACCTCTCCTATGTCCAGAGTCCTGCAGTGCAGCAAGGTAAATATAAGCAGGAGTCAAATTCCTGCACAGCCACTGACCACACACATCCTTTGCCCCCTCTGAGCCTCAGTTTCCCCAAATTGTAAAGTAAAATCATCATACCTTATAGGATTATTTTGAGGATTAAATTACTTAGTATCCACACCCCGATCTTCACCCCAAAACCTGCGTTCTCCATCTTTAGCAGTCTTACCCTCCTTGGGTATCAGCAGTCCCAAACCTGAGAGGCATTCGTAACAATGTCCTCACATTCACACCTAATTCACCAGCACATCCTATCAGCTCTCCCCTCAAAAGACAGCCAGGGCCGGCCGAGTGGCGCGTTGGTTAAGAACTGGCTTTGGACGCCAGAGGGCCC